GAGCGGCGCCGCGCTCTCAGCGGGGCGCGCTTGAGCCAGCGCGGCATCCGCGCTGCCCTCCTCCACGTCCATGTCATTGTTTCTACCCCCCTTGCCTGTGCCCTTGATTTCGGCCGGCCGCGCTGAAGCAATCGGGCCAGCAAGGCGTCGGGCCGCGCGGTTTCCCCCGCCGCGGCAAGCGCCGCCGGAGCCCCCATCGGGTTCAGTCGCACTTGCTGCTGAGCACGATATTGTAGAGCCGTCTTCTGCGCCTCGACTGACATGTCCCCCCGGCCTCGCCGCGGCGGCTGTCTGGCCCGCACGATCGAAATGCAGCCGCGCTTTCCTCTCGGCGTCGGTGCTGCGAGTGGGACTGGCTGCCCACCCTTGCGGCAAAAAATTAGCCTCCGCCGCTTCCCCTTAATCGCGAGATCTAAACGTTAAAGCGCCTTCTGCCCCTATGCCACATGCAAGATCCGCGAGGTGTACTTCTCCGGTGCGTTGATTGGTGATTAGTGCATAACGCACTTGAAACTCTGGCCCTCCCCGATCCTCGCACATCGCTCCATCCTCCATATTCTCGCCGTTCGCGACCTCCAGATGCGCGAGGCGCAAGTGGCCGCGCTCCTGGGCGACGGGGCTGTTCTGCGACCAAACGCACTACGCGCAATGTACGCCTCGGCCACTCTTAACGGCACCGGAGCTGATCTCAAATGTTGTTTAGCTGGCCTGAGCCCCCTTTTCCGACTGTCTTGCTCCTCCCGCCACCTGAGCCGGCCGGCTGCATCTTGGAACTCGGCTTCTTCGCCCCTGTCAGCGAGACGCTCGGCGCGAAATTCAACCTGCTGAAGAGGGGCAAGATGCTGCTTGCAACGCCAAAAACCCCTGCGCGGCATGAGAGCTCTCGAGGCAACGGGCAAGGCACCGGCCCGCACTCGATAACCTCGTGCGCCTGGTAGCTCAGATCTTCGCGGCAGACACTGTTGCGCGCGCTGTTGACGGCGCGCGCGCGAGCTGCATTGACGCCCGTGGAACGCTTCGAGCAATTTGTGCATGCACTGGCGTCTTCGAGACGCCGCGCGTAGTTGCCCGCGCAACGCCTCCCTCCCAAGCGCGCTCGCCTGACGCGCGCGCGTAGCTGGGGGCGCGATGCGAGCCGTGCGGCGCATGGGCTGACATCCGCATCGAATCGAACAGCGTTCGCGCAGACGGTGCAGCACCTGGCCTTATGTCTGCGCTCTTGATTCGAATCAGCAAAGAGGGAAGTCAGGAATCATTGGAAGTATTTTATCCGTACGCATAGAATAAGTTAGAACACGACCTGCAAACAACCTATAATCGAGTGCTGGCGTCGAAAGAAGACGCCTTGGAACGACGCGCCAAACGTGGGACGAGACGATCACTGAACAGACTCCGGCAAACAATTGAAAGCACGCGCGCGCATGGCGCCTTCGCTCTGCAAGCGAATGCGGCGCATCCGACGGGCGGCGCGGGCTCGGTCGCGCGGCGTTTGCCAGTGGGCGCATCCACCGCGCGACCAGGCATGTGAACTTTACAATCGGACCTTCTCTTCTGCGGGAACAAGTAGTTTCGCAGTAAGTTCTTCGGGCAACTTTTGCGATCGACGTGGGTCTGCACTTGGTTGGCTGTGGATAGGTTTGGCCATATGGGACTGGATTGACAAGTGGACTCTTGCTATTGCGATGCCAGCGCGCGAACTTCCAACTTGCCACTCGCCAGCACAAACGCAGCGCATCGCGCGTCGTCCACCGCCCCCATTCCCCGCCCGATCACCCTTCGATCTCTTGCACGCGCACCCACTCTGACCCCATATTTCACCCCCGTCTAAGGCGAGTCAGGAAAGCGTGCTACGAAGTCGGTTGCAGACTTCTTTCGGTTCATGTTCAGGATCGCCCCAGTGCGTGAATGCCGAAGACGCGACTTCGCGCCGGGCGCCGCGCCCCGATCTGCAGAGCATGCGCGCGCGCCTGGCGAAGATGATACGCGGGTGACTGTTTCAAGCCCGCGCCGCCAAAATCTCCCGCCCCCCCCCCAGCCAGCGCGCAGCGATGGTGATAATGGCGTCTCCCACGAAGGTCTCGTCCCACCACTCGCAAATTCAACGCTGGCAATGTGCGCCGCAACTGCGTGGACCGCGGGCTCGCATCCTGTCTGGGCTTCCGGTCGGGGCGTCAAACTGAATCCCCGCCAGATGTTTAACTCCCTGTAGACGCGGATCATGACCTGAACGCGCGTTGGAGGCAACCGCGCTACCGCCCGAAGTCGCGGCGCCCCCCCCCCCCCCCCCCCCCCATCCCGAGCTCAATCCAGTAGCCATTCCCCCAATCGTTTCAACACTTCAGCCCCCGCCATCCGCCTAGAACGAGCCCCCCGCCCCCCCCATCGACCTCGACCGCCTCCCAAATGACCGCCCTCATACTTCGTCGACGCGCTGCGCGAGCGACGTGCGCCCCCATGGCTCAACGGCCCCTGCCTGTGCGCCCGCGCGCCCGCGAGAATTCCAGCCCCAGGGGGCCGCGCGTAGCAGATGGCCTCGGACAGCCCGCGCGCGACACGTGCAAAGGCGGGCCGCTGCCCCGGAAGCCGCCCACGGTGAATCACGCACACTGCGCGGCCGCCTGCCCTCGCGCGATCCCCCGCCGACGGAAATTGCAGAGACTCGAGCTGCTACCGCGCAGCAGACGTTGCGAGCCCTCGCATGCCAGCGTATCCTAGCCGACGGCGGCGTTTCAGAGTCTGTCACCCGCGTCCACATCCGCGATGTGAACTGTCTTGATTGCTTGCCGCTTGTGCCGGCCATGTGGAACTCCTGTCTCAGACGAGCCCCCCCCCGCCCCGGGCGCCATGACCTCGCACCTTTACGTCGCCCACGAACGTCGCGGGCCCCGTCTGCGCCTCCCCCGCGAGATGGGACATGTGCTCGTGCAGTGCGCATGCCAAAAATCATGCTGCCAGACATGTTGCTGCGCTTCTTCGAAGGGCGCGGCACGTGCTGCTGCGGAAATGTAAGCGGCGGCGTAAACCCCGGGAAAGATCCCCGCGCGGCCCCCCAGCGGCATTCGGCCCATCGGGTCCGCCGCGAAAAACGACGCACCAAGCGCCGCGCCCCTGGCCATGCCCAAGTCACTCGCGCGAAAAACCAGTGGGCGGCAAAAACGGCGTCGCACTTCGAATGCGCGCCCGACGGGAATGCAAAAAAGAACGCGCGCGTCATCGCGAACCCTGCTCAGATGCCCCATCCGCAACTTGCAGAGCCTCCGCGACGCGCGCGCCTGCGCCATGACAGCGCCCCCCCACCCACCCCGCCCTCCGCCGCCTTCCCTGGCGCCCCGTTGGGCACTGGCAGCTGGGCGCGGCATCGCGCGACGCAGGATCTGGTTGGAGACGCCCCCCCGCCGCGCGCGTCGCCCAAATGCCCCCCCCCCCCCACCCCCCCTCCCCGTCGCACCCCTTCTTGGAGATGCCCTCGGCCGCGCGGCGCGCCGCGGCCTGATGCGCCTGAACTCGCAAGCGCCAAGCGCGACGGAACGCAAAACGCAGACACGCGCCATGGCAACTTGCAGCGGCGCAGAATCAGCGAGCCTGCTCTGGCGCGCAAGCCCCGTCGGCGAGACTGGGGGGCAGGTCGCCATGGGTTTGTCCGCTCAGGGCGCGAAATCATTCTCCGCATCTCCGCTGACATTCTGCACTCTGGCCGCGGTCGCCACAATTCCAGGCGCCGCGCCGTTCTCTTGACTTGCCTCCAATCATCAAACGCCATCTCCCACGTATCATTGAGGTTGTATCTGGCGCGGCCCTCAGAATCGCGCGCTTTCGAAGCTTAACATTCGCAGCGCCCCTCCCTGCTGACCAGGCAAGTTCACTCTCGTTTGCCGCGATCGTCCCGTCGCCGACGATACTGCCAACGACCGATGCTGTCTGCGCCATGGTCCCGGATGCCAGCCTGCCAGTTCTCGAAGCAGTTCATGGACCCTGCGCGGATACAACAGGGCCCGTCCCGGCTCCTCCACGCGCCTCCAATACGCCCTGGCAGTCAACCCGGCCCCCTCGCTGCTGCGACCAAGTCCCGTGCCAATCTCCAGCGAACCCCTTGATGAAAACAGCCAGCATTGCAATGACCCCCCGCCTGTCGCCATAGAGACAAACATTCTTACACTCTGCGCATGTGCTCATTGCTGCGCGCAGTGAAACAGCGCGTACGCCAAAACACTTAAAGAGTGGATATTGTAGAGTTCGTTCCGTCGCTTATTTAACTTTGCCTTGATCGGCAAGCAAGTGTAATGCAGACTGAGCCTCATGGAGCTAATCTTTCGCCTGGCAGGACAAACTGCTGTCGTAGGTGTCCCGTTTGCAATGGGTGGTTCCTGCGGCCTCGAGGTTCGCCCGCTCGATTATGTCAAGTCTGCTGCTGTGGTGCAAATGAATATACGCCGTCATCAGAATCGGCCGGTGGCCCAAAGGGCCGCCTCGTGTAATGTACTTGTAGTCGTCGCCCCTCCGCTGCACGTGTTCGGACCCTCTGTTCCTCCAAGCATGATGTGCCACCCCATGATGTGAGCAAACGCCCCGCAGCTTCTCTCCCCAACGCAACTGGGTGCCATGTGAAAGTGAACTACATGGTGTGGTACACGCGGCATCAAGAACAGGTTTCACTTGAGCTGTTGTATAGTGCTCCTCGCATGTGGTGACCCTGCCCCAAGCGACTGTATCTACATCAGTATGTATCCATCATTGGGATATGTGAAATTGTGCCGTTAACGTGCGAAAGCTGTGTAGCGTAAGAACTCGCCCAACATCTGTACTATCGTTGTAAAAAACACGTGTGTGCGTCTTCCTCTCGCCCCTCCTGGTGTGTCCCGCCGGGGAGTAGATCCCAATCAAAACGGGGTGTATAGGCTTTTTCCGTATCCCCATCCACGCCCCACGACATCTGAGGAACCCAGGGAACCTTGCGCAGGCTGCATTCACGTAGCCTCGAAGCCTTCAGAATGAAGGTGGTGTCACGCTTGAAATTCGAATACTGCCCACTCTTGTAACCGCGCGGAATGCACAAGGAAGTGTCCTGCTCCGAAGGTGTACTCGGTGAGGCCGCTCTTGCTTCCCAGTTGCGCCCCGACCAGAAAGATCACGTTCCTCCTGGGCAGTGCCTCGCCTATGTCCATGCCCACCTGCACGATGTTGCAACAACACGTGTTGTACTGGACCTCCCGCACGAAAGACATCGGCGCGAAGGAGAGAAACCGCTCGGCCACCAGCTCCGAGCCTATCTGCCTGAGCCCCGGCATGCGAGATCGAGAGCGGCGATTCATGACCTGTGATCTCACTCATTCGTGGAGTTGCAAAGCTGGTGCCCAGATGAGTGGGCACGCGCTTGGGCCCACCAACTGGATTTGCAGTCCTCCTCCTCCTCCGCCTCCTCCTCATCCCCCTCTGACACCCCCACGTGTCCCCCCAATGGTTTCCAGAGCGGCTGGGGAGAACGCATAGTCGAACAGCTTGGTCAGACGTTGGCCAACATTTGAACACATAGGCGTTTCCAACGGCAGGGGGCGACAGTGGCTCGCCGTATGCGCCACCCATGAAACCTTCAATCTCAGAATTCGTTACACGTCTAAAGCAAAACGCCCTGCCCTACCCACGTGTCTGGTGGCGCGACCGGGAGGAATTGTATAGAGGGGGGGCGGGAGAAGGACGCGAAGGAGTAGGGGGCGCGAGGGGGTGAGAGAACGAGGAGCCCCCCAATGCGGTCCGCCACCATCGGGTGGGGAGGAGGAGGAGAACTCACCTCTGACTTGGCGCCGAATTCTGACTCCTGTATTCTAAGCTCCTGGAACCCTTCTGGCTTACTCTGCTTCCGCGTTGTGCGCGTCTCTCTTTGTTCATCGCCCTGTTCACTGCGTCATCTCTCAGACGGGTTTCGCCTATTCACCCGTCCTGACATCAAGCTTTCAAGGGGGATGCGATGGCGGCGGCGGTGGCGACTGCAGATTCGGCAGCAACGGCAGCGACTACAACGAGGAGCATGACCTCGGCTAGCTATCCTGGAGGTCTCGCCACGCGGAAGGTGGCTGCGAGGATGACTAGAAGGAAGAGGAGGACGGGGGAAGGGGGGGGGAAGAAAGCAGGCGAGACGTGAAGAGGAGGAAGGGCAGGAGGATTAGGAGGAGGAGGATTAGGAGGAGGAGGAGGAGGAGGAGTAAGAGGAGGAAGAGGAAAACTAGAGAAGAGGGGGAGGCGGAATAGGATTTGGAGGAGGAAGGAGAGGGAGGAGGCGGAACAGGATTGGGAATACATGATCATAAGACAAGGGGGGGGGGGGGGGGGCAAACCGAAGAGGTAAGATGGAGAGGAACTTCAAGAGCCGCCACCGCGGCTGACCCCCCCCCCCATGGCGCACGCCGCTGGAACTCGCGGGCGGGGATGGGGGAACGCACTGCGGGCGAGCGCTGTCTCGGGGTTGACCGAAAGAGAGGGGCCTGAGTTTCCTCACTCCTGCTGCTCCTGTTGCTGCTACTCCTTCTCATCCTCCTTCTCCTGGACAACTGCCTCTTGCCTCATCCTTCTCCTCCTCCTCCTCCTCCTTCTCCTCCTCCTTCTCCTCCTCCTCCTCCTCCTCCTCCTCCATCCTCCCCTCCTCCACCTCGTAGAGCCTGGTCGGGGAGGAAGGGGAGGATGACAGGGAACGGAGACTAATAGGGGAAGTTGGGCGAGGATGAGGAAGAGCAGTTCGTCTCGAGCGCCATGTGCTCAAGAGTGACTGCCTCAAGTTGGCACGACTCTGTGCCCGCATACTCGAGGCCTGAACCACTGTATGGTGTGCTCGCGTGAGCGCCAAGGACGGCCGCCTGCTGACATTGCGTGAACGCCGCAAAACGGCCAGGCTGTCTTGAAGATTCTGTACCAGTACAGTGGGGGCCAGATGTCTTCTGCTGCTTCTCATCGTCATCTACCACGTTCTCGACATTGCGGGCACTGCTCAGGCTGTATTCCACTCTTCTCCTTTGTTATCCTGACACTCGGGGAGTGTCCTAGTCGGGCGGGGCTGTTCGCACAGCCTTTGGTGTGGCCCGCGGACCCTGATGTGCTGATAGCACAGCAGCTCGATGGGTTCATGTTTGGGCTTCAGGGCCTCAGCTCCTCGCCTGGTCATGGAGCACGAAAAATATGTGTCCTCGTCGTCTGGCGCATTTTTTGTTCCATTGTCACTTTTACTCCCTTGTAGACGACAGGGACCGCTGGATCGTGGTGGGATGGACGGCTTTCCCATGCACAGCGTCATCTGTCTGTACTCTGGGTGCTGGCTGTATTATGTACGCCTCCCGGACTCTCTGGAATTATCCATGGTCCTCGTGTGCCGGTGCTTTTCTAGGCTTCTACTCTTCACTCTCCCACCCTCCTTCTCCATTCTTTGTGTCTTATATATACATACCTCCTCACTGTCGCACGCCGAGGCTGGTCGAAAGGGCGGGCAGTGCGTTTCGCCTGAGACTTCCCCACGATTGATGAGTTTCACGGGTGGATGGCGGCCCGTTTTCAAAATGTGGCTAGCCGCACACATTCGTCTTAAATAGTTGCAAGAGTTTCACGGATGGAGCGCGGTCCATTTTAACATGTCGCTCTCGCCTTGGCGCCGCGCACAGAAACCATTGCAAGACGAGTATGGAGGGCGGTTCCTTTTCAACATGTGCCTCTCGCCTTGGCGCTGCGTACATTCGTCCAACGAGTCTGCAACAGTTCACACATTCTCATGGCTCACGTCCCAGAGGTCGGACTGTCAGTGCGCTTCAGGCACGTTGATCCGCGGTGTTGAAGTCCCAAGAATTGCGCTGGCGCGATTCAGGATGGTCAAGGCGCAACAATGATGGTGATTTGCGGCGTTGATGTCCCAGGAATGGCGTTCTGGCACAATTCCACATGATCGAACGGTTTTCTTCCAACGGTGCACTTCCCTCAGTGAAAATGAATCCGTGTAGGTGCCCATGATGAGGAAACTTGGAGGGAGGGTGTGCTGTAATATTGTTGATGAGATTGGGGTTTGCACTGACCCTCGTCCTCCTCCTCGTCCTCTCCCTCCTCCCCCTCCTCCTTCTCCTCCTCCTCCTCCTTCGTCCTTGCTCGTTCTCATTCTGCACCCTCCAGGAGCAACAAAAGCATCCCCGCTCCTCCAATTGCAAAGACCATCTTGCACGCGCCAGTCCCGGGAGTGCCCTCGGTCAAACTGCTACCATGAGGAGCACTGAAAGGACGTCAGCTGACCACATTACCGATCTGGGGCCCAGGATGAGCTCAGCCATGATCGGTGACGCGGTCAGTTGATGTGCCCCGAAGTTTGGCCTCATCAGCGCGGTCCTAAAAGAACGCTAAAGAAACAACCACGGAAGGACCTAAGCAACAGCGGGCTCCTTCCGAATCCGAGCTGCGCATCGTTCCTGCGTCGTGACTTTGCACGCCTCCCCCTTTCCTGCACAGTCCGAAAGGAGCCTGCAGCGGGTAATCTCCCGCATCCTCTCGGGCGGGGAGGTGCGGACATTGACCCTCTGTGGGCGCAGGGACTGGCACGATTGGCAAAACGGGGTCCTATTGGCAACGTGACTTGGACCCCAGCCGGGGCTTTTCCAAGGACACACTTTTCATCTTCGATCGCGTTTTGATTGTCCCGCGACTGCTCCCTTCCCCTTCACATGTGCCGGTGCAAAATTAGCTTTTCCGCGACCCGGCTGTTGCTGCACAACGCATCGTGCCTTCACGTTGTCGATGACAAAGCAATCCAGGATGCTTGCCCCAGGGCCAACGGGCCCACGGATGGCCCCCCAGGGCCCGAGAACGGTAAACAAAACCTACAGGGCCTTCGCGTTTCCTCCAGGAGCCGTCTTTCTTCACGCTGCGAGGAGGTGGAATTCCATCCGAGAACCCGCCAGCGCCGATGCCCTCGCCCCCGAAAAGCCATCGGCAGGCCCATGGGACACCTCGGCAACACCTTCAACAGAACGGGACGGCCCGCCATTCAAACCTGTGGGATGCTAGAGCGTCTATACACCGAAATCCTCCGCCGAATGCACAAGCCCCTTGGCCGACCAAACGACGTGGTTTTTACAGCGAGCCCCTCCGAAGCGTCCCCGCAGATCCGACGTTGCAAAAAATGCAGCATCGCAAACAAATCACGTCTTAGAGCCATACGACCCACCCTTTCTGCTGCCTTTTTCAAATCGGTTCGATCTGCAATGCTCCTGGGGCTCGGAGCCGAGCAAAAAAACGATCGGTGTGAAAAAACTGCAACGCCCAGGTCTCGGGGTCGCCACGCAGGACCACCCAGCGGGCCTCCTTGCAGTTGGCGGGCTTCAGCCTCGCTCGCACCGCTATTCGCAAAGCGCGCTTTGAGAGCACAAAACAGCTGCGGACCAGCATGTGGTGGGGCCGTGCCTTGCTTGCCCAGAAGGGCCCTGTTCGGGTTTCTGGGCGTCCGATGCCTCCTCTCTGCCCGCCCCGCAATGGCAACCCTTGTTCCGCGCCATCCCTCCTCGCCTGGCAGGCCTGGCCTGCATCGAATCGCGAAATCGGACCAGATCGTAAACGGATCCGATCGCCAACGAGTCGTCCCGAATCGAATCGACACCAGATCGCCGCGCCTATCTCCGGCTGGCCCCAGCCGATACCAGTGAATAGAGCCGAATCGGATCGTGTGGGCGGTCCTGCCTGGCCTCGTGCGCATAGCAACCGCGCGGCATGGAAGCATGCCGCTACAGGTGCTGAAGTAGGCTCGCTCTTGCCTCGCGCAGAAGCAGCACTCAAATTTGTCAAAGTTATGAGCGGCTCTGTGTTTCACATGCAACATCCTCAACATGCAACATGATTCGCGAAGCATCATCCTCGATTCTTCTGAAGACAGTGGACGACAGACGCACGTGGGATAACACTGCAACATCCATTTTGGTATGATACACTTCCCGATCACGTCACTGCTGCATCGACCCCAACAACTACCTACTAAACCACCTTCACCCAAACCGAAATTGTCGTTGGGCCTGTCAATTTCCAGTGGGGGGGGGGGCATTCTGGAACATTGAACAAACACATTGGTTCCCGTCCCCCCCAGTATTTGTTTCCAACCAACCTGTGTTGTTGGGTCCTCGTTTTGAAGTGACGACCCCCGCGTGTCCTCATCCTTCTCCTCCCTCCTCCCCTCCTTTCATCATCATTATCATCATCATCATCATCATCATCATCATCATCATCATCATCATCATCATCGTCATCGTCATCATCGTCATCATCGTCATCATCGTCGTCATCGTCGTCATCAGCATCATCAACATCAGCATCATCATTTCGGCACACCCCTCACACGTTTCGTGGCCCCATAGGAGCCCCGCCGACGGTCCCAGAGGCACAGTTCGCATGCGTCCCCGCCACTCATCTCGGCACACCGATCACACGTTTCGTGCCCCCTATAGGACCTCCGCCGAAGGTCCCAGTGGCAAAGTTCGCATGCGTCCCCGCCACTCATTTCGGCACACCCCTCGCACGTTTCGCGGCCCCATAGGAGCTCCGCCGAAGGTCCCAGTGGCACAGTTCGCATGCGTCCCTGCCACTCATTTCGGCACACCCCTCACACGCTTCGTGGCCCCATAGGAGCTCCGCCGAAGGTCCCAATGGCACAATTCGCATGCGTCCCCGCCACTCATGTCGGCACATCCCTCACACGCTTCGTGGCCCCATATGAGCTCCGCCGAAGGTCCCAATGGCACAGTTTGCATGCGTCCCCGCCACTCATGTCGGCACACCCCTCACACGCTTCGTGGCCCCATAGGAACTCCGCCGAAGGTCCCAATGGCACAGTTCGCATGCGTCCCCGCTACTCATTTCGGCACACCCCTCACACGTTCCGTGACCCCATAGGAGCTCCGCCGAAGGTTCCAGTGGCACAGTTCTCATGCGTCCCCGCCACTCATGTCGGCACACCCCTCACACGTTTCGTGGCCCCATATGACTACCTACCAGACCACCCCAACCCAACCCGAAGACCCAAATTTCGGGTTGGGGGGTAAGGGTTCCACATGTGTTTTTTCGGTGTTTCCCGAACCCCCCCCCACTGGAAATCGAGGGTAAATCTGAGCCTTCGGGTTGGGTTGGGGTGGTCTGGTGGGTGGTGACCATAGGAGCTCCGCCGAAGGTCCCAGAGGCAAAGTTCGCATGCGTCACCGCCACTCATTTCGGCACACCCCTCACACGTTTCGTGGCCCCATAGGAGCTCCGCCGAATCCCCCAGTGGCACAGTTCGCATGCGTCCCCGCCACTCATTTCGGCACACCCCTCACACGCTTCGTGGCCCCATAGGAGCTCCGCCGAAAGTCCCAGTGGCACAGTTCGCATGCGTCCTCGCCGCTCATTTCGGCACACCCCTCACACGCTTCGTGGCCCCGTTGGAGCTCCGCCGAAGGTCCCAGTGGCACAATTCTCATGCGTCCCCGCCACTCATGTCGGCACACCCCTCACACGTTCCGTGGCCCCATAGGAGCTCCGCCGAAGGTCCCAGGGACACAGTTCGCATTCGTCCCCGCCACTCATTTCGGCACACCCCTTCACGTTTCGTGGCCCCATAGGGAACTCCACCGAAGGTCCCCGTGGCAAAGTTCGCATGCGACTCCCTCACCCAGTACAGCGTTTCGTGGCCCCATATGGAGCCCCACCGAAGGTCCCCGTGGCGCAGTCCGCATTGTGTTGTTCGTTTTCGTTCGCGTTGTGTACCACGCCACTCATTTCGGCACACCCCTAGCACGGTTCGTTGCCTCACAGGGATCACCACCGAAAAAAATTAATCACAACTGCGGTACTCACATCTGCATATGGTCCTATGGTTGGGTCCTTCGTCAGGCTATTTTTTGTTGAGGGGGGGGTCTGGGACCTTCGGGTCGGGAGGGGGTCGTCTGGTAGGTAGGGACATATGGCACAAGCGTGCGAGCAACACACCGCCTGCCAGGTACTATGTGTGCCTGCCGTGCTGGTCCAACTGGTACTGCTGCGTGTGGCGCTGCTGTCTCCAGAGATAGTGGTAGCTCTACCCTGCCTGGTCTCCTTGGCAGGGGGCTTGCGAAACAACAAACAAGAAATGTTCGCGCTGAAATGTTAGCCCGCAGTAGTCTGCAATGCATGGCCCACACATCCACGCACAAATCAAGGTAGTGACCAAGTCTGCAGGCTTCTACCACGGCTGCGTCGTCGTCACCGTCACCTTTTTAAAGCAAGCCACCCATGAGGATTGTCCGAATCTTCATCGCCATCACGTCGCTGCCAATCGTGATAGCAAAACCGCCCTCATCACTGTCGACACCGACTAGCACATCGTTTCCAGTCTTGAGTAATTGGCAATGTCCATACTTGCCATGCCCAAGCGACATGTAAGCGCTCCGCTCGCATCTGCTCTGGGGGAACTCGGCGTCACCGCTGCTCGTCTTCGTAAGTCTTTGTTCTTTCGCAAGGGGCACTCTGTGTTACTGCTTTGATGCCACCAAGCCACATAGCTGGCGTACAGCCAGTTGGCAAGCCCCAGAGCTTTGTCACCTGGATGGGGCGACTCCTCCACGGCCTCGAAGAAGAGGTCTGAAAGCGGGCTGCACTGCAGATGCACCGAACTCTCACGGCGACTCGAAATTGCAGTCTGCACCTCGCCGGAGACTGAAAAGCTCGCCTCACGCCTGCCTGGCCTCCTCCCCCCCTCCCTCTGCAGCCCCACCCTGTTCCACGGCCAGGACGCGGGCCCCGGCTCACTCCCTCCGCGGCGCCCGGCCCCACCGCGCATGTTTGATGGTCCCGGGGCCAGGAAGCGGGCCGCCGAGGCTGACATGCAAGGAAACCGCCAGGATGGTAAAACCATGTCGCTGGCAGTCTGGGTCTGGCATGAAGGTGCCGGGTCAGGAGGGAAACTCGGAGGCGCGCACAGGGGGTAGGAGGGGGGAGGCCTTGAAAAAGCTTCTGAGAAGCCCTGCTTCTTAGAAGCACCCCTGATTCTGAGAAGCCTTTCCCCCTCCCCCTACTCTCTCTGCGCGTGGCTGAGAAACAGGCAACCTTGGAAAATTGCTGATCCTTAATTTGCGGCTTAACTTTCTCGTTGGAAGTCTGAGCTTGGCATGGAGTGCCCGGTCCAAGAGGGAAACAAATCCTGCACTGTGGGGCCCCGGGGCCAACCTCTCCATCCCGAACCGCTTTTTGACGGCCTCGGGGCCCTGAGAGGGCCCTGGGAGCCCGAAGCCGGCAGAAACGGCAGGACCTGATTTTCTCAACCCGCGGGCCCTACAGTCAACCCGTATAACAAGGACGCACAACGAGGATGCAAGGGCTTTGGGAGGCCATGTCGACGCTCTGCGAGCGGGGCGCGGCCAGCAAAAGCGGCCAAGGATGGGCCGAAGGTGAAGGATGCAAGGGTAGCCTTGCAAAGTCGCTCGTCCTTACTAGGCGGGTTGACTGCAGAACTCCCGACCTCTTCCCCGAGGGGGTTGCTTTGTGTCCCGGATGCACCTTTGATGGCCCTGGGGGCCTGGAAGCGGACCCCGGAGGCCGCGGTCGAGGAAAGACGCCTGGACTGATCTGCGGGCCCGTTCCCAGGAGGGCCCGTTCCCTTCGTGGCCGCCCGCTCGGCCTCTCGCCCGCCCAGGTCCAGAACGCTTGCTGGGATGCTGTGCCCGGGGAGGGCCCATGGAAGCCCGAGATCGGCCAAAAACCTGCCCTGAGATCCGACATTGCGAGACAATGGCAGCATCGCGCAGAATCACAACCAGAACCCACGACCCCATCTCTCTGCCGCATTGTTTCAATCCGGATCGATATGTGATGGTTCCAGGGCCCGAAGCCCGGCGAAAACGCTCGTTTGAAAAAATTTAGTGGCCCAGATCGCAGGGCAGGATTCGTTCGCTTTCTGGCGATCGCCGAGAAGTCCCCGATAGCGAAACCGCACGGTCCTGGACAAGGTAGGCCATCGGGCTCCCATCGGCGACCAATGGGCGATTGGGGGTCGATGCGCCCCCCCTCTGAACCCCCCCCCTTCCCCTCCCTCCCCCCGCCCGCCCGCCGCGAGACCTCCGACAGGCGCGCGAGGCCCACCGCCCATGCGCGGAAGTCCGCGCGCGGCACGGACCGCAGGGCCTTTCGCTGCTTTCGGCAGGGGCTCTGCCCCCCCCCCCCCCTCCACCCCCCCTTCCCTCCACCGCCTCCATGGCCTCCTCCGCCCCCTCCTCCCCTCCGGCCCTTCCTCCTCCACCACCCCTTGCCCTTGTTAATAAACTCTCCCTGCCGCACCCCCAGACTTGTCAATAGGGCGGGCTGGGCGTTTCGGCCGAGACTTCCTCACCATGTGTGATCCTGACGCTTGAAATTTGCCAAAGCTTCACCGAGGAGCGATCGGGCGGCTTTCAAAATGGAGCCCTCGCCTCGGCGCCACGCGCGCTCCTCTGCAATGTTTGTATCGACTTCGCGGACGGAGGGCGGCTGGTTTTCAAACTGTGATTCTCGCCAGGGCGCCGCGCGCATTCTGCTCGACAAATTGCAACAACTTCAAGCATGGAGGACGGCTGATTTTCAAACCGTGGCTCTGGCTTTTGCGCCACGCACACTCGTCTTAAACCGTTGCACCAGTTTAAAGGATTGGTAAGTCTGAAGTCCCATGAATGCTGCGTTGCAGTGGTTCCACGTTGGTTCGCGGCGTTGACAGTCCAAACATGGTGTTTTGACAAGATCAAACGGTCTGAGGTGGTTGTCGTTCCATGGGGCACTTCCCGCAATGAGAAAATGATTGTGCGGGACTTCGGAGAAGGAAATTAGAGGGAGGGTTTACTACAGCAGTGATGGTGCGTTTTGGGTTTACACTTGTCCTCCTCCTTTTCCTCTTCCTCTTCCATTGCTCTCCCTAATGAATAACACCTCCCTGTCGCGTCCCGAAGCTGGTAGAAAGGGCGGGCTGGGCGTATCGCTAAAGACTCCCTTTCCATTAGACCCTGAAGCTTATACTGGCAACAACGTGGGAAATGGGAGACGTGGTGTGGATTTCAAAATGTGGCTCTCGCTCTATATCCGCGCACATTCGCCGCAACACTTTGCAAACATTTCCAGATTGGCGGGCGGGTGGTTTCCAAAATGTGGCTCTCGCCTGAGCGCGCACACTCGTCGTAAACATGTTCAAGATCCTGGCGGATTGAAGGCGGCTCGTTTTCACACTGTTGTTCTCGCCATCCTGCGGCGCACACTTGTCTGAAACATGTGCGCGAATTTCACAGATCGAGGGCGGGTAGTTTGCATACTGTGGCTCTGGCCCTATTTTGGTTGTGAAACAACTGCAGACGCTTCACGGATTGAATGCAATTCCATTGAAAACTGAGACTCTAACCTTAGCGCCGCGCACATTCGTGTCAAACAGTTGCCAGAGCTGGAGCGCTTCAGGATTGTCAGGGCGCAGCAATTATGTTGATTCGCTGCGTTGCCGTCCCAGGAACTGTGTTCTGGCACCTTTCAGGGTCGTCAAGACGCAACAGTCGAGTTGATTGAAATTCCGAGAACGGTGTGTTGGCATGCTGCAGGATCTTCCAACGGTTGTCTCTCAAAGGGGCACTCCCCTCAGTGGACATGATGGCCTATGATGAGGGAGCTTGGAGAGAGGGTTTACTCCAATATCGCTGGCGAGTCTTGAGTTTACACTGTACCTCCTCGTCGTCGTCGTCGTCCTCCTCCTCCTCCTCCTCCTCCTCCTCCTCCTCCTCCTCCTCCTCCTCCCCCCCCCCTCTCTGAGAGCCTGCATCTGCGCGCTCAGACCCAATTGGAGCAGTGCCCTGCGTTATGGTTCCGAGGCATCTTCACCAAGAGCCTTACGTGGATGTTTGAGCTTCCCGAGGAAGTGCTTAGGTCCTAGGATCCGCCACAATTGAAGATATCCTTCCACATGCCTTGTAGGCGAACCAGGGGGGGCCCGCAGCTCGGGCCCTCGTAGGCGCAGGTGCGGAACAGCCACTGTCGCCATACAGCCTGACGGCCAGGGGTGCTGGAGGCTTGCGTGGGGGGTGTTCGACTTCTGGGGGGGGGCAGGCGGCAGACGGTCCCTCAGTCCGAATTGTTGGCATTCGCACTAGCATTAGAAAATCCGCCGACCCCTTGTGGGTCTCTAGGCGTGTGAGATGGTTCCCCCCCCATAACCCCTCCCCAAGGGACCCCAAACCGGAGATGTGACCGAAATATGGCCCTGGACGCCCACGATGGCCTCCAGGCGGCCTCCGAAGCTGCCAAGACGCCCCAAAAGGCCCCCAAGATGCGCCCCAAAAGGGCCCCAAGAAACAACAATCGTCCCATTCCCTTAGAAAAAACAAGCATTGTTCGCATGCTCGCCTATTCGGTTTTCACAACGTCCCAGACGGGCAACAAAAACCTTCAATATCGCCCCCAGACGGCCAAAGGGGCCCCCAAGAAGGGTCGAAGAGGGTTCAACAACAGCCCCCGAAGCCCCCAAGACAGCCCAAGAGGGCCACCAGACGGCCCCAAGACGACACCTGTTCGAGCCTTCGGCCCCAAGACGCCCCCAGCCTGCCCCAAGAACAGCCCAAGAGGCCCTGAGGGACCCCCCAAAAAACCTCAAAGGCCTCCAAGAAGCCCCCAGGAAGCCCCAAAGAGGCCCCAAAACTTGGCCCAAGATGCCTCGAGGCGGCGGATATGGCATGCAGACAGGCCAAGATGCCACCAATAGGCCACAAAAGAGCACCAAGAGGTACGATAACAGCAACGAAGCAACAGGAACGATGTCGAGCGCCGTGTCATGATTCGGACAAGCCTCGTGAAATGCAGTCCTGGAGGCACAGTACCTTATATAGGGGTCGGCGGATGTGGCGTAAGCCTATAGAATCTGGCAGCGTCACTCCTTTTTGTCATTGGGCATGGGCCCCTAGTCAAGGCTCATAGTCAGAAGGCATCATCAGAATAATGGGGCAAACCATGACCTCTGGTCGCAAATCAGAATCGGCCTCAGCAGCAGAGATACAGAGGTCGCTCTGAAATCGACTCCCTCGGACATGGGTGAGGCCCCAAGTCTGGGAGTTGAGCAACTGGATCCCTTTTGATCCATGGCAACGCCCTGGGTGCGGCGTCGAGCAGGGGTTGGGACGTGGCTCAAGGCTCTGAAGCTATCATTGCCTGTCGCCGGGGCGGTCGAGCTTTCTCCATACTCAAGCTTTCTCTATACTCAATCTTCCAGCTAGCTTTTGCCATGGCGAGTGCAGCACCGACGTCGCCAGCAGCCCGTGGCTCCACCCGCGCTCCAGGCACCCCGGTTGGGCACCTCGTCCAGGACCCCTGGGAGAACATGGCCAAAAAGCAGCGCTCTGGACATGGCCCTGACTCCCCAGCGACCCCGCTCCTCGGCGAGATGCGCGCGGAGGATCAGGGGTACGTGCAGATGCCTGGAGGCGACATGGACGGCCCAGCCGAGAGGGACGCTCCACCATTTCGCCAGCCGGATTTCGGCGCTGCCGCGGCCTCCTCGGAGAAGGACGATGAGCCTGTCACGATGGCTGGAATCGCTGCTCTCCTTCAGCAGCAGCTGGGCCCCGTGACTTCGGTGGTGGCAGATCTTAAGAAACGGTTCATGAAGCTCGACAGCAAAGTTACCGACTTGGGCACTTCCCTTGTGGGCCGTTTGGACGACGTGGATGCGAAGCTGATCGATGCAGACCTGCGCATAGAGAAGCTTGAGAGCATGTACGCGGCCATGCAGGCACCCCCCAGTGCCGCGGATATTGACGAGAAGATCCAGGCGAGCATCCAGCAGGCCTTCGCGAGCCAGGCCTCGCAGCAGGCGCCTCTCACCAAGAACGTCCCGCTGGTCGACAGGAAGGCGGTCACCATGGTGATCGGCAATCTGGACAACTTCGGGGACTTCTCGAAGGCCGCCGATTGGTTGCAGGGCAAGCTCACTTCCTTGAAGGGGCCTGCGCCGACGAACATGTACGTCAAGGGCGACTTTAAGGGCATCGTCTTCGCCGAGTTCTCTGACACCGCAGTGCGGGACCAGGCGGTGGCACTCCTTCGTGGTGCGGCCCTCGCCAGCGGAGGCAAAAAGGTCTGGGCAACGGAAGACCGAGCTGCCAGCGAACGTGCTGCGAGGAACTTCTGCCTGGGCTTGAAGCGGGTTCTGAAGGAGGAGTGGCAGGTCCCGTATACCATCTCGTTTAACAACGCGGCGCCGTACGTGCTCAAGGTGGGGGGCGAGCACGCGCTTACCGTGAACGTCTCCGGCAGCACCGTGGACTACGAGTGGCATGGGGACTGGGCAACTTGGTCCGAGCTCCACAACCACTCCTCGATCAAGGACCTCAGGAAGAAGTCGGACGACCTGCTCTCGCGGGCCACGCAGGGGCTCAAAGGAGGCGCGAAGGGCTGCTCCAAGGGGCAACGGCCCCAGTAGGAAACACGGCACATGAGCGATGTTTCACCCGAATTCGCAGTCGGCCCTACTGCGGCTATTAACCATGATCGAATTCACTCTTCCGATTCTTGCCAGGCATGTTTACCAGCAGTCGGCACTACTGCAATCATCCCCCCTCCTCTCTCCCGGGCTTCCGAAGCACTGCACTTCCGAGGCGGCGCCCTGCGGCCGTGCACCCGGAAGCTCCGGACAGCATCTTGGAACGTTGAGGGCCTCACCGAGGCCAAGCAAGCAGAACTTGAATGGCACATGACATCCATGAACATCGACGTCATGTGCATCCAGGAGACACAAGACCGGGGCAGAGTTCTCCGTCTCTGATGCCGGATTTCTCCTCGTTCTCTCCGGCGCGTCGGACCCAGACGATAATGAGACGGCGGGGGTCGGTTTCATCGTCGCGCCGCGCATCCGAACGTCCGTCGTGGGGTTCAGGCAACAGGACTCCCGGATGGCGTCCCTGAAGCTGCGAGTCAAAGGCGGCAAGATCATGATCTACACCACGTACGCTCCCCATAGCGGCAAGAGTTTCCAAGACAGACGGCAGTTTTACTCTAACCTAAGTTCCTTCATCGACAGCGGCTCCCGGCACGGCCCTGCCTTGGTCTTGGGGGACTTCAACGCTCGGCTTCATCGCCGGTATCCGGGCGAAGAGCACATTATCGGGCCCTACATATTCGGAGTCCCG